CATCTTATCTTGCCTGTGTGCTTGATAAGGAATTCGGGGGTGAAGAGCCCCCAAGTAGTCCTTGAAGGGCTTCTTTTGGGGAATGCAAGGTACCTCATTCCTTTGCAAATTGTAAACTTGTATTTTGCTATATAAAATGAAAGTTTAAAACCTTTATTCCCTTGGCATTTGATCTGGTAAGTAACTGGGGGAAGGTAGTACCCCATTCCTTAATTCCCTCTTAAGAATCAGCAGGTCCAAGTGCAGTCAGAGCGCCCAAACCCCAAACCCTAAACCCCAAAACCCTAAACCCCAAACCCCAAAAAGCCTAAACCCCAAACCCCAAACCCCAAACCCCAAACCCTGAACCCTAAACCCTAAACCCTAAACCCTAAACCCTAAACCCTAAACCCTAAACCCTAAACCCTATAGCCTGCAAAGCCCGCCGGAACTCTGAAGCCCATGGCAGGAGTGGAGGGTTCTGGGCAGAGCCCGAACACGTCGGAGCGAGGCCCCGCACTTCACGGTTTGAAGGGTTCATTAAGGTTTAGGGTTTAGGGTTTAGGGTTTGGGGTTTGGGGTTTGGGGTTTGGGGCTTGGAGTTTAGGGTTTAGGGCTTAGGGCTTAGGGTGTAGTTGTTCCCAGACAGCCGACCAAAACACGCTTCAAATCAACTAGTCTCCATAGGAATTTTGCCTTTCTTCAGGACATAAAGCCCCAAGGAATGGTCTTAAGGTGATTCTTCCTTCTACCTAGGATTTGCGATAGATCCTTATTCTAGGAAGTGGCTGTTTGGGAACGAGGTTCAGAGTCTGGGGGGCCTCGCACTGGTCACCGAATGGGTCCCAAGACAGAAGGGGTTGGAGTTCCTTCGGTAGGGGAATAATTTCATGAACAACAATACGTGAACTAATTCATAGTTCCCTGAAGCCTAACACCCAAGCATAAGGAAAACTATTCAACAAAGCGAACTCATAGTTCCCCAAAGGCTACCACACGAACAGCGTTTGAGGTTCATAGCTTTGAGCGGTGGCCCAAACCCTAAGCCCCAAGCCCTAACCCTAAACCCTAAGACTCTAAGACCCTGAACCCTAAACCCTAAACCCTAAACCCGAAACCCTAAACCCTAAACCCTAAACCCTAAGACCTGAACCCTAAGCCCTCTATTGCTTGCAGTAAAGTTGAAAAGTCGCCCTGCGCCAGGTCGGATCGAGGCGGAGCTCGCCGCCATGCTCCAGGGTCTGAAGGCAGGGGCTTGGAGGAGTAGGGTTTAGGGTTTAGGGTTTAGGGTTTAGGGTTTAGGGTTTAGGGTTTAGGGTTTAGGGTTTAGGGTGTAGGGTGTAGGGTTTAGGGTTTAGGGTTTGGGGCTTAGGGTTTAGGGTTTAGGGTTTTGGAATGCTTCTTCTGGTCTTTAGAAACCCTCTTAGCCATGCCCCGCGTCTGAAGGCAGGGGTTGGGGGAGTTTGGAGTTTGGGGGTCTCTTTCTATTGTTTTTTTTTTAATAATTCTTATTCTTATTCTTATTTTTGGTGTGGAGTTTTGGGTTTTAGGGTTTTGGGTTTTGGTTATTTTGGGATTTGGGTGGTTGGGGTTCAGGGGTTGTGGGGATTTTCGGGGTCAGGTTTAGGGACTTTTGGGGGCTGCAGGAGGTTTAGGGTTTCCAAACCCTGAGCCTCCCATTTTTTCCTTATATATATATATGTATATATATATATATAGATATACACATACACTTTTTTTTTTTTTGGGGGGGGGGGGGGGATTCGCAGCCTCCACAGCCCAGAAGCACCCGTGCACACCGCGAAACCCTCAACACCCGAACTCCCAGTTCGTGCGCTGCCACAGCATCTGAAAAGGATGACCTGCGGGAGAAGGTGCCGCTCCTTCCTGACGCGCGGATCCTGGAGCGGGACAGCAGGAGGATGCTCATAGAGGGGGAATATGAAGGATGCTAATGTGTATGTAGGGAAGTTACATGGTCTCTTAATGTTCCCTTACTGTCTTTCTTTAAGGGGTTCTGAAGTACGGGCCCTAGGGTTTTATGGGGTATATGAGGGGTAGGGGCCCATAATAAAGGACCGTGCCACTACTGTAAGAGTTAACGTTACACCGAGCTCTTTAAGTTTTGGAGCAGTTTGGGAGCAACACCCTAAACCCAAAAAGCCTAAACCCTAACTACTAAACCCTAAACGATGAAACCCGGTTTTTTGGTGGCCACTTCTAGGTTGAGGCGATGGAGCAAACAGCGACGACTTCGGCAGCTCCTTGGCCGGTTCTTGGGGCCTCGGGTTGGGCTGGTCCAGGGTACCCTAAACCGCCTAAGCCCTAAACCCTCAACCCGCCCACCATCCCTGTGCGAAGGTGTCCAGCCTGTATCCGGATACCCCCCCGGCATCCGAAATCCATTTGGGGTTCTGGGCCTTTAAAAAAACGGATGCCCCAAAACGGATACCCTCCCCCCCCATCCGAAGTCCATTTCAGGGGGCGCCTTGGAGTGGGCATGTCTGCACACAATTCCGTACAGCTGACCAGTGCTACACCTTCCCCTAAACCCCGAAACCCTAAACCCTCAAGACGAAATAAATAGAAATTGCATGTGATATCATTCTGAATTTACCATGTTTTTTGTCGAAACAGCCGACAAGCCGAGTTTGAGTAAATCAGTCCAGATCGCTTCTGGCAAGCAAAATTTTCAACTTACTCAAACACCCGCAGACCCGCAAATTCCCTTCCAGATCCCTCCAAATCCCCTCACAACACCCCGCCCCACTTTTGCGCCGGCCAACCTTTTTGCTCATTTGTCAAGAGCAAAGGTTGGCCGATAATCCAAAAACTCCTGGGTCAGATTCTTTCACCGGAGCCCAGCTATTGCGAAAAGGCTGATCGGGCCTAAATCAAGTTAAATTTCTGCGCTCTCACGATTCTGGAATTGTATTGAATTTATATAAGGAAAACTACGGGAACAAATCCTTAATTTTTCTTAAATTAAGCTGACGATGAACTTTTTTTGTGTGACGATGAATTCTTTTGTAAGAAATTGGCCTATTATTAACCTAGATTTAAGCAAGCTTTGTAGTACATAACTTCTTAACAACTTAGCGATGGCCTCATTTTCTTAACCAGATTGTAGCTAATTTTCAGAGACTACTTTGGGGTCCAACCTGTTCTTTTGAAAAAACAAAACACGGAAAAAAGCAAATTTGTTTTCAACTGGCGTTTTGCAAACACATCTGTTTACCGCGGGCCCCGGGAGGTCTGACAAAGACCAAAAATGGTCCAAAATCATTCAAATTGCCCATTGGGCGGGTTTCCCAGACTCGGAACTCAAATCGGGTTTAGAAATCTGGGGCTGGGTGGCGAACAGGCCCAAGAGACCCAAAATCACAAATCGGGTTTGAAATTTTTTGGGGCTTAGGAATGGTTCCTGGGGGGAGGGGGGGGGGGGTCCCACAACTCCGTTGAATTGCCTGGGGCGCCAAGCTGCGCTGGCGAACCCCAAGCCCTAAACCCTAAACCCAAAACCCTAAATCCTAAACCCTAAACCCTAAACCCTATACCCTAAACCCTAAACCCTAAACCCTAAACCCTAAACCCCAAACCCTACACGGCTTTAAGGTTTGGGCTGTTTTTCGTATTGTGGCTTGGGGTTCGGCGTTTAAGGGATGTCTCTGCTTCGACGAGTTGAGGGTCGGTTTGTGGGGTTTGAGGTGTAACAGCCCTAAGACCTCATTCCTTGCAGCAAAGGTTTCTTTGTCATAGCTGGGTAACATTTTACATGTTCAAAGGGTACTTAAACCCAACAAGGAATATGGGTTGAAATTCTTAATACTATCCCAACCATGAATTAGGTTTAGGGCTTGGGGTTTCGGGTGTCGGGTTTAGGGTTTAGAGAGCCGGCACTAAAGTAGGTGCTTTGGGGTTCTTAAGGTAGGGCTTTGGGCAGTTCAGCTGCAACCGGCTAAGGGTTTAGGGTTTATTAAACCCTAATCTGTCAACTCCTAAATTCCTAAAAATCTACGCGCGATGCATCACAACCTGCCCAGGAGAGTCAGCAAATGGAGGACTCGCAAAGCGATACCTCAGGCCCGGCTTGTTTTTACGCCGGAGTTTGCCGCGAAGATACCTAAGCCCTGATTTTAGGCCTTGGGGTACACGGATGGGAGCTTGCCCTCGTACGTTTGAGGTGTAGGGTTGGGATTGCGCACTTGCCGGAGCCTGGGCCGTAGTGGCATGTCGCAAGTTCATGGCATCCCAGGCCATGATGCTCTAGAGGGAGATGTAAGATACCAGGTCTTAGTGGTAGTATTGAGGTACAAAGCGAACCCAGGAGTATTTCGCCACACTTCAGAATTGCGCATGCACATGTGCCCTTGTCACCTTGGTAGAGCATGCGTAGCATGTGGGTATGTTGTAGTGCGCTGCATTCCGGGTGGATTGACTACCTACAGAGGACTTGCACTTCACAGTCACAGGTTGTTGAATCTCACTTGTTCCAGTGAGAAAGGCTAGGCTTGTCGGTGTACCGGAAGACCCTTCCGTGAGTGCGGAATTTGGGGGACAACACGACATCCTCTCTGCCCGAAATTTGCACTCGGCAGCAGGTGCTGGTTACTGGCCAAGAGGTCTTCCCACAGCCAGCACGGTGGAGGACCTTTCTCAGGCCCCGCGAGAGCTCTGCGTGGTCAAGCTAAGCAGCTTGGTCTGATGTCTTGCTGCAGAGTTTAGTTTGCCATGATGAGGATACCAAATTAGGAACCATAAACCTATTAGGTAACTTCGGGATCAATCTGATCGAGTGGCACGACCCCATAAACTCAGCAAGCGCGTTTTCGCTGGGGTGTGGCGTCTAGGGCTAGGGTTTTACTCTGAACCCTAAACCCTAAACCCTAAACCCTAAACCCTAAACCCTAAACCCTAAACCCTAAACCCTAAACCCTAAACCCTAAACCCTAAACCCGAAACCCTAAACCCTAAACCCTAAACCCTAATTAAACCCTAACCCTAAACTCTCCTTGGAGGCAATGGATGAGGAGGTCTGGAACAAGCTGCGGCAGCAGCTGTGGCGCTCTCGGTCTCACTACCCTGCACTGCCCACTCTCAAGACGCAAGTCAGTTTGACACTTCGGTTTTAGGGTTTAGGGTTTTAGGGTTTAGGGTGCAGTCGAGTTCGAGGCTTGCTCGACATGTTTCGACTCGTTTCGATACCAAAGGCGCAGTCTGCAAGACAACATCGATCAGATCACCACGAAGTTTGCGCCGGGGCCTTTCACTGCCGAGTACCAGGATGCTGGCAAGATGCATTCGGTTTGTGGCCCGAGGCCGAAGACAGGTACGCTCTCGGCCAGCGAAGGAACCCTCGGGTACCCTTCAAAAACTCCGCAGAGTGCCCGGTCCCATCGTGAGATGGACACGCGTATCTTCCTGCCGCCGCAGCACGTGCCCCAGATGGGTCCCACGGGTCCTACGAGTCCTGTGGGTCCCATGGGTCACATCCCAGGGCGCTTCCAGCGCGTCTCCCATACCCAGCTGCCAGTGCCACAAACCCCGCAAACTCCACAGTCCACAAGCTCCAACTCAAGCATGCGCCCACAAGGCCCGCAGGGCCCACCAGCCTGGCATTTGCAAAGTCATTTGCCCGAACATGTTCCCAGCAGCGCGACTTCTGAAAGCTCTGCTACCGTCTCCAAGGCGTGTGCCAAGGGTTCAGGGAAATTGCAGCACGAATTAGAGGCTGTCGGCTATGCGCCGACGTTTGAACAGTGTTGTGAGCAGAGTGCTTTTGGTAGGCGGGCAGCTGTCGTCGAGCATCCTTTACCAGCAGCGGCACCGGTGAGCTACAGCCAAGATCTCAGGAATTGAGCTCCCTGAAGGCACGCGCAACCTCACAGGAGCGCACATAGTGGCGTACCCCTTATCATCCCCATAGATAAGCATGATACAAGCTACTTCTTTACAGTTCCTTCTCTTGAGGCCGCTGGAGATAATGGATCCGCCATCTCATGAGCGGAGTTTTTTTTGGGCTCACCTGGGCATAGCACGCGCCCGAGGCCTGTCGGCCTACCTGGATCCGAGGCCTGTGCCCTGGAATTCAGAAGGGTTCGCTGCGCACTCTGAAGTGCGCGCCTAAAGACCCTGAGCTCTAAATCCTAGCCACTTTAAACCCACTGCGACCCGAACAACCGAACAACCAAAAAGCCCTAATCGCCCAAACCCCACTCCGAAACCCACAACCTCAGAGCCCCTCAATTCTCTCTCGGAACTATAGGCCCCTGGAAACTATCCCCCTAAACCCCTAAACACCCTGCATGCCTAAGACTAAGACCTTCCCACCACAGCCCCTTTGTGCTTTCTGCCGCAGGTGGAGCAGCTTTGCTCGCCGCCATCCCGTTCTGCGCTGTGCCCGCTGCGCTCCCAGCGACCTCCTGTTTGAAACACATGCAGTGTGTGTGTGTGTGTGTGTGTGTGTGTGTGTTTTTTTTTTTTTTTTTTTTTTTGGGGGTGGGGGGGGGTGGGGGGGGGTGGGATTTTATGCGGTTTTATAGGGTTTATGGGGTTCATAGGGTTTGTTTATAGGGTTTATAGGGTGTATAGGGTGTATAGGGATTATCGGGTTTTTGCGTGTTGTTACATCATGTTACATATGTTCTGAGTTGCACAGTTGCAGAAGTTCAAACCCACATAATTCCATACACTCACATGCGTATGCTGCATACACGCACACCGTGCACATATCATACATTTGATTCATACATCATCTAGCAGAACCAAGGCATGATGCCTTGTCTGCAGAGCTTTGGGTTTGGGTTGTAGGACGGGCTAAGGGTTCAGGGGAACTTGATGTATTTTCCAGCCATGTCATGGCCTCCAGGTATCTCTAGAGATTGGATGCCTGTCAACATGGCGGGTCTCAGGATATGACGGAAATGCTGTCGTTCACTCGATTTTGTGTGTCCTGGGTGAGATTCCTGGTGCCGTCTCAATCAGGAAATGCCCAGCAGTTGGTGCAAAATCCCCCTAAGACCCCTCACACCCCTCAAAGCCCTAAATCCACTGAAGCCGCAAACCCTCGCCCCTAAGAACCCACCCCTAAGACCCTCAAGAGCCAAGAACCCCGAAGAACCCCGCAGAACCCCGAAGAACCCCGAAGAACCTCGAAGAACCCTTTCTTTGCGCATCGGGTGCAGGGTGATCCCTGGGTGCCCAACTCGCAGCACCACGAGCCTCAACTCAGCGTGGTGGCCTGAGTAACGTTGAGTCCTTTATCTTACTGGTTCTGCGTAGGGAATGAGGGAATGACCCTATACAATCCCTCATAGGGGGATAAAAGGTACCTACTTACTAAGAACCAGCCCTAAGCCCTGAACCCTAAGCCTTGAACCCTAAACCCCAAACCCTGAGCCCCAATCATGGTCGAGTGAGACTTGCAGGACCCAGTTCACGCCGCGGAGCGCAAAGATCACCATGCGCACTGTGCCCTTTGAGGTCGCCGGCCGGAGCCTCAGAGTTAGGGTTGAGGGCTTTGTGGGTTTAGGGTTGGGGTTTAGGGTTTAGGGTTTAGGGTTTAGGGTTTAGGGTTTAGGGTTTAGGGTTTAGGTTTTAGGGTTTAGGGTTTAGGGTTTCGGGTTTGGGATTTGGGGTTTAGGGTTCAGGGTTTAGGGTTTGGGGTTTTGGGTTTCGGGAAAAAGTCGATGCGTGAGGTGGGGCGCCGGTGCCCGTGACGCTTCCAAGCCGAGCTGGCGCCTTAGCGCCTTCGTGTGTAAGTGGGGGAGAACATCGCTGTACGAAGAATCTTAGGGTTTAGGGTTTAGGGTTTACGGTTTAGGGTTTAGGGTTTGGGGTTTAGGGTTTTGGCTTTTGGCTTTTGGCTTTTGGGTTTCGGCCCTAAACCCTAAACTCTAAGCCCTAAACCCTCAGATTCTCTCAGTGCCCATCAAACTGCCTAGTTCTAGGTCGGGATGTTCGAAGTAGGGGCCATAAACCCTGTAAACCCTCTAACCCTCGGAGCTCTAGACTCTATTAGACCCTATAGACCCCATAAACGATAAACCCTCTAAGCCCTAGAACCCTAAACCCTCAGCCAACCACATCCAGCTTTTTCATGGGCCTCCGGGAGTAACCCTAAACCTGAAACCCAAGACCCTAAACCCCGGACCCTAAACCCTAGACCCTCGACCCTAGATTCTAAACCACCCGAAACCCTAGACCCTAAGCCCTAAGCCCTAAACCTTAGACCCTAACGGTTCGTAACCCCTCGACCCTAGTTAAGACCGGGCTTCGGCGTGGCTCAGGCGCAGTCCCCGGGTCGACCCTTCGTCATCGTGCGGCCCACGACTCCACAGGCCCGCAGGGTGCACATGCTCGCAAGAAGGCCCATAGGGCGACTAAGCCCTAAGCCCTAAGCCCTAAACCCTAAACCCTAAACCCTAAGCCCTAAGCCCTAAACCCTAAACCCGAAACCCTAAACCCTAAACGCTAAAACCCTAAACCCTAAAACCCAAACCCCAAACCCACTTCTCTACAATATGAAAAGGGGTCCCCCCATCTCAGGCGGTTTCAAAAAATCATGGTACCCAAAAGGGGCCATAATCTAGAGAGCTTACCAAGAACGCGGAGGGTTTGGGGGTTTCTAGGTTGGGGGCTGGTGGTTGAAGACTTGGGGGGCGAAGGCTGATGTAAATGTTCTCCGGATCCAGTGTTTCAGTAACCTACTGGGAATCCGAAAGGTCGCGTTGAGCACTGCCCCCCCCCCCCCCCCCCCCCCCCCCCCCCCCCCGGCCCCACCATGGTGGCGATTGCGGCTTCAACCCCTAGGTCTTAGACCCTAAACACTACATCCCTAGACCCTAGATCCCTAAACCCTAAACCCTAAACCCTAAACCCTAAACCCTAAACCCTAAACCCTAAACCCTAAACCTAAACCCTACACCCTGAACCCTAAACCCTAAACCCCTAAACCCTAAACCCTCAACCCTATGGGCATTGTTGGGTGGAAGCTGTGTGGTGCCTGTTCAGGTCATGACTCCCCGGCTCGTCGGTCCAAGGCAGGTTGGGAACAGGAGCCTTCAATTGCCAAGGTGTTAGTTTTGGGTTTAGGGTTTAGGGTTTAGGGTTCAGGGTTTAGGGTTTAGGGATTAGGGATTAGGGATTAGGGATTTTGGTTTAGGATTGAAGGTTTAAGGTCCGGGTGTAGGGTTTGGGGTTTAAGGAGGGGGGGTGGGAGGAAGCCTTAGAGGTCCGAGGCCTTGTTCATGATGCCTGGTTGGGTTTTACATGTTGGGATGTTCCCCCTTAAACTGCCAGTCCTTCATAGGAAATCATAATATTATAGTCCCTATTAAGGACAGTTCGTATGAGAGAGAGCATCCCAAGTTTTACAGATTTAGAGGGTTAGGATTCCTCGACTCTACGTTATTTCTTGTTCGTTAGGGCCTGAAGGCCTTGTATAGCCCTAAACCCTAAACCCTAAACCCTAAACCCTAAACCCTAAACCCTAAACCCTAAACCCTAAACCCTAAACCCTAAACCCTAAACCCTAAACCCTAAACCCTAAACCCTAAACCCTGAACCCTGAACCCTGAACCCTAAACCCTGAACCCTGAACCCTAAACCCTAAACCCTAAACCCTAAACCCTAAACCCTAAACCCCCTAAACCCCAAACCCCCAAACCCCTAAACCCTAAACCCTAAACCCTGAACCCTAAATGTTGCAGAAGAAAGCTGGAAGGCGAATTGTGCAGACCATGGCGGCCCCACCTGGCAGTGGCTAAGCAGGAGCTGAACGGTCTTATACTAGCAGTTTAGGGTTTAGGGTTTAGGGTTTGGGGGGTTTACGGTTAGGGATTCTAGTACCCCCTAGTATACCCCCCCCCCATTAGGGATTGTTTCTTTCAGGGGGAACATCCCAAGTCTTATGGACCAGTTTAGGGTTTAGGGTTTAGGGTTTAGGGTTCAGGGTTCATCAGCGATGTTGGCCGCAGGGGAAGTCGAATTTCGGGGTGGCAGGTGGCTCTAACCTGTAAGCAGGCGCTTTCATTCGGTTGTTTCGAGAGGGAAGCTAGGGGGTTGACATCGCAGACCCTGAAAGCCTAACTAAATCTGCAAAATGAAGGGATCACACCTTCCTTGCAAATTCTCTGCTAAACTCATTGGAAATCGAGCACTTTTGGGCGAATAAAGCCTAAAAGCCCTAAAAACTAACCCCCTCGAATTCCTTTTCCCCCACCATCCCTAACCCCCAAGAATCCCCAAAACCCCTAAACGTCCTCAACCCTAAACCGAGGGTCTACTGCAATGTGCCCCTAAACCCTAAACCCTAAACCCTAAACCCTAAACCCTAAACCCTAAACCCTAAACCCTAAACCCTAAACCCTAAACCCTAAACCCTAAACCCTAAACCCTAAACCCTAAGCCCTAAACCCTAAACCCTAAACCCTCCTAGGAGCCGCAGGGCTGGCATCGGATGTTTGAAATGCGCACAGTGCCAAAGACCTTGGCATGGTGCTTCATGCCTGAGTGATTGCGACCTGACAGGGTTAAAGCCAGCCATACCGGGGGCCCAGGCTCCCCCAGCGGCCCTAAACCCTAAACCCTAAACCCTAAACCCTAAACCCTAAACCCTAAACCCTAAGCCCTAAGCCCTAAACCCTAAACCCTAAACCCTAAACCCTAAACCCTAAACCCTAAACCCTAAACCCTAAACCCTAAACCCTACGGCAATTGGATGGGCATGGAGCGCTGCGTCTGCTGGAGATGGCACGAAGAACAGAGTCAGGGACTTGGGCAAATTTAGGGTTTAGGGTTTGGGGTTTAGGGTTTAAGGATACGGTAAGATTCTTAGGATCTCATTTTCGAAGTACAGACACTTCACTTTTTACCGAGCTCGCAGAACATCTCCACGTTTCACCGAGCCGCGCGGCAGGATTTGAGAAGGTCTCGAGGCTTTGCAAGCAAAAGTCTCTGCGTAGTTGCAGCCTGGCTTCAGTCCTAAGGACTGCAGCTCAACCCCCATAGCTTGGCGGGTCAGTCGAGCAAGAATCCGAACCCTACAATCCCTCTTGCCCTAAACCCTAAACCCGAAACCCTAAACCCTAAACCCTAAACCCTAAACGTGTCGGTCTCTTCGAAATCTGAGGGGTTTAGGGACCTTTGGACCGCTTCGAGGGGGCTGAAACTGGCCGAGCCGCTGCTGCGAAATCTCCTCCCCATAGTATTGAGCCGCCCCCCCCCTCACCCCTCAATTTGAGGGTTTAGGGTTTAGGGTTTAGGGTTTAGGGTTTAGGGTTTAGGGTTTAGGGATACAATATTGGGAGAATTTAGTATTCGGGGGTGGGGGTGGGGGGTTCTATATTAGGGGGGGAAGGATTCATACTTGCTGCAACGCAAGTGTACTCCTAGCACCCGCCATGGAGTGAGCCATGCACCACATGGTCAGTTCTCTAAATGGTGGTCCTTGGTTGGGCTACCCTAAACACTCGGGGCCGTCTGATAATCAAGACCACTCCCAACAAGGACCATATTTTAGAGAAGTGGCCATGTCATGGGTATTTCCCAAAATAGGGGCACCACTTTTTTTCTTACCCCAAATCAGAACAGAATCTCCTTAAAGGGATCCCCAAAAAGGGTACCCCCTATTTTCGGAAGCTCCCACATGGGCCACCCAAATTGCACAAATGCACAAATCCAGTTTGTGAGATACAAATGCTCGCATGAAGCCGAAGACTGGCGCTGCCCGGCGGACCAAAAGCCGATGGCCACGATTTGCAGGAAGCTCCGGTCGAACCCTTGAACCCGAAAGCCGGGTTTAGGGTTTGTTTCGGGTTTAGGGTTTAGGGTGTAGGGTTTAGGGTTTAGGGTGTATATATATATATATATATATATAGATAAGGGGATCCTACTATTCGGGGTCCATTTTAGGGGTCCCTGATTATTGTACACCGCCATGTAGCAGGTTCGCCTTACTCCCGCAGCAGACAGAGAATGAGCTCGCGATTTCTGAGGTCCCGAGCCCGGGCTTCTTCTTCGTGCGACAATCTTTCTTGTCATGAATGGTAGTATCTCCCTAAACCCTAAACCCTAAACCCCATCAAGGCTTACGAAGGGCTAGTATGAAGGGCTTGCGCCTTGAACCCTCTTTGCTAGGCTTACGAAGGCTTCTTTGGGGGAGCTGGCACTAAACCCTAAGCCGCCTAAACCCTAAACCGCCGAAACCCTAAACCCCAAACCCCAAACCCCAAACCCCAAACCCCAAACCCCAAACCCCAAACCCCAAACCCCAAACCCCAAACCCCAAACCCCAAACCCTAAACCCTAAACCCTAAACCCTAAACCCTAAACCCTTAACCCTAAACCCTAAACCCTAAACCCTAAACCCTAAACCCTAAACCCTGAACCGAAGATGAGGTCCACTCCAAGCTCGACCGGGCCCTGAAGTTTCTGCAGCGCGACGTTGGGCCGACAGCTCAGGTTGAACAAGGTTCTAGGGTTTACAGGGTTTGTAGGGTTTAGGGTTTAGGGTGTAGGGTTTGGGGTTTAGGGTTTAGGGTTTAGGGTTTAGGGTTTAGGGACAGGGTTCAGGGTTTAGGGTTTGGGGTTTGTAGGGTTTGGGGTTAATAGGGTTTAAGCTTTACAGGGTTTATCGGTTTTTTCGGGTTTATAGGGTTTGTAGCTATGAGGGTTATAGGGTTTATGGGGTTTGTAGGGTCTGTAACGGTTTGTAGGGTTTGTAGGGTTTACAGGGTTTGTACGGTTTGTAGGGTCTGTAACGGTTTGTAGGGTTCATAGCGTTTGTAGGGTTTGTAGGCTTTGTAGGGTTTGTAGGGTGTGTAGGGTTTATAGGGTTTATAGGGTTTATAGGGTTTACAAGGGTTTATAGGGTTTGCAGGGTTTATAGGGTTTATAGGGTTTACAGGGTTTATAGGGTTTATAGGGTTTATAGGGTTTACACGGTTTATTGGGTTTATCGGGTTTATAGGGTTTATAGGGTTTAAGGGTTTACAGGTTTTTCGGGTTCTTAGGGTTTTTGGGGTTTATAGGTTTATCGGGTTTAGGGTTTAGGGTTTATCGGCTTTTTATAGGGTTTAGGGTTGGGGCTTAGAGGGCTTGGGACTGTTTTCTTCTTGAGTTCAGGGCTTAGGGCTTTACAGGGTTCAGGGTTTCTTTTGGGGTCTAGGGCTTTATTGGGTTAAGGGTTTAGGGTTTAGGGATTCAGTTGCTCTAAACAGGGTTAGAAGGTAACCAATAGGGTATCCTTACGATGGAAGAAGGGGAGATGACTAGGATCCTTATCATGGTACCTTAAGTCAAGTTCCTACACACTAGAACCCAGCTCAGACTCAGGTACTCACTCCTAGACGATGCCTTGCCGCAGGCGGGTGGTGGCGTAAGGCGCGGTCTCTGGGATTCTTGAGGGTTTTTCTCGGCACTTCACAACCTCGGGGATGGAGATGGTTAGGGTTTAGGGTTTAGGATTTAGGCTTTAGTGTTTAGGGTTTCGGATTTAGGGTTTAGGGTCTAGGGGAAGACTCCGAAAGCAAGGAGGTATGAGCTCCACCCTCGAATGGTCCTGAGCTTCTTCACTTACAGGTCTTTTGTCGGTTTTTGTTGGCAGATTTTTCAGGTCCCTACACCCTAAGCTTTCGGGCGGTTGGAAGTTTATGAGCTGGCTCCGGGCTTCGGACCTTCAGACGGGTATGCCAACTTGCGATGGGGCCATGGCGATTTGGGGCTTGTTGTCGCAAAACCGCTCTTGCACCACCAAGCCCGAAAATCAAATCTGACAGGCCAACGCTTCCTCTCGCAGGATGTGCCACAAAACCCTAAACCCCAAACCCTGAGGTAGCCTAAACCCTAAACCCCAAACCCTAAACCCTCCTAGCCGTAAAGTTGAGGCAGCATGGCCTTCAATTGCAATCCGAACCATTGACTTCCCTCAGCCACAAAGCCCCACAACCCCAGCCCTAGACCTTGAACCCTGAACCCTGAGCCCTGAGCCCTAAACCCTAAACCCTAAACCCTAAACCCTAAACCCTAAACCCCAAACCCTAAACCCTAAACCCTAATTAAACCCTAAACCCGAACTCCAGGCTGCGGCATCGCGACGTGGAGGGCAGTGAAGCGCTGCCCGCGCACGGCAACATCCCGGCGCCACGGGGGCGCCGCTCGGGAAAGTTGCCCAAGGAGCTCCGGCAGCCCCCCCCCGTTTAGGGTTTAGGGTTTAGGGTTTGGGGTTTAGGGTTTAGGGTTTAGAGTTTAGGGTTTAGGGTTTAGGTTTGGGGTTTGGGGTTGAGGGCTTGGGGTTTAGGGTTTAGGGTTTAGGGCTCGGGGGTCTGCAGGCAAGTTGAAACGCTGCCGATGTTTTTCGGGTGGGGCTTGGGGCCTTGTGAGTATTGGAGTGGCCTGGGCTTCATGGTAGCCGGAACAGCCACGACCCCAAAATCAACCCTTAACCCCAAAAAGCCACCAACACCAAACCCGCAACTCGACATCTCATCTCAAACCCTAAGCCCTAAACCCTAAACCCCAAACCCTAATCCTAAACTGGCCCTAAACCCTAAACCCCCAGCCCCCCTACACAGGAGAGGCCATCGGAGTGTGGAGACGAAGCGGATGACATCCTGTCATGCAAGCCGGAGATCGGCAAGTGCCCGATTAGAGAGTGCTCTGAGGGTTGATAGGGTTTCGGGATTTCGGGAGGGATGTGGGGGGGGGGGGGTCTGGGAGGCAAGGGCTGAGGGGCTTAGGGCTTGGGGCTCAGGGCTCAGGGCTGCGGGGTCTGGGGGCTTTTTTTTTGGGGGTTTGGGGGGGCGGTGTGTGTGTGTGTGTGTGTGGTGTGTGTGTGTGTGTGTGTGTGTGTGTGTGTGTGGTGTGTGTGTGTGTGTGTGTGTGTGTGTGTGTGTTTGTGTGTGTGTGTGTGTCTGTGTGTGTGTGTGTGTGTGTGTGTGTGTGTGTGTGTGTGTGTCTGTCTGTGTGTCTGTGTCTGTGTGTCTGTGTGTCTGTGTGTCTGTGTGTCTGTGTGTCTGTGTGTCTGTGTGTCTGTGTGTCTGTGTGTCTGTGTGTCTGTGTGTCTGTGTGTCTGTGTCTGTGTGTGTGTGTGTGTGTGTCTGTGTGTCTGTGTGTGTGTGTGTGTGTGTGTGTGTGTGTTTCTGTGTGTGTCTGTGTGTCTGTTTCTGTGTGTTTCTGTGTGTGTCTGTGTGTCTCTGTGTGTGTGTGTGTCTCTGTGTGTGTGTGTGAAGCAACAAAACGGCTCCTTAAAGCTCCTCACTGTGTACCGTGCCGCAGGTATGCTCATTTCAAGGATGATGTCGTCCTGGTTTGGAGGCCTGACCAAGAGAGCCATCCCCTGACTTCCTCGTGTGAGTCGTGGGTAGCCATGTTTAACTTAGGGATGCAGGAGCACCCCCTCCCACCCCACCCTCAACTCTAAACCCTAAACCCCCTAGACCCTAAACCCTAAACCATCTAAACCCTAAACCATCTAAACCCTAAACCATCTAAACCCTAAACCATCTAAACCCTAAACCATCTAAACCCTAAACCATCTAAACCATCTAAACCCTAAACCCTAAACCCTAAACCCTAAACCCTAAACCCTAAACCCTAAACCCTAAACCCTAAACCCTAAACCCTACAGCTTCTTAATCCTTGCTGCAGATTCGCAAGCCTTATCCATGGCTTCGCCATGGAGATCGGAGAGAAGTCGATTGAGTCGTCATCGGCCAAGCATGACACACTTTACAAGAAGGTGCTCCAGGCAAGGAGGGCAGCGGGCTTAGGGTTCAGGGTTCAGGGTTCAGGGTTTAGGGTTTAGGGTTTAGGGTTTAGGGTTTAGGAGTTCCTTTTGAAGTGATAACCGGAGTGCATGCTCATCTGGAGGTGGCGATCGTCTATCGGCGCTTGTGGCATTCCATGGCGCGTTGACAAAGGGTTTAGGGTTTGGGCTTCAGGTTTTGGGGGTTTTGTAGGGCAATACCACTAGAAATGAATTGTCGCTTCTGACCACAGAGACTCCCGGCGCAGGGCATCCGTCTCATGCACTTGTGCGAGTATCACTACGCTGACGTGGTGTTGACCCTCGCCTACGCCAGTGTCTACTTCCGGAGCGAGCTTCCCAGCTACTCCATGCACTTCATGCATGCAATATGCATTAGAAGACACAGGAGTGAAGGGTAGCAACCCATTGCTGTGCTGCCACCACGAATGCCGTCACCGCATGCGAACTGTATGGGAAACACCGCCAGCAGCAGCAGCAGCAGCAGCAGCAGCAGCAGCAGCAGCAGCAGCAGCAGCAGCAGCAGCAGCAGCAGCAGCAGCAGCAGCAGCAGCAGCAGCAGCAGCGCGACCAGCAGCAGCAGCAGCGACCATTGCTACGGCTGCTGGAATGGTTCGAGAGATGTTGCTGTATTTGCTGTCGCTGTTGTCCTCAGGTGCGTTCAACAACATAGGCCAGAAGATGAGCGATTACGAGGCCTTTGCTTTTGAGTCTGAGCTTCCCCCCGCAGATCAGTGTTTCGGGTTTAGGGTTTAGGGTTTAGGGTTTAGGGTTTAGGGTTTAGGGTTTAGGGTTTAGGGTTTAGGGTTTAGGGTTTAGGGTTTAGGGTTTAGGGTTCCTCGGGCCTTCTCATGGCAGTTCCGAAGTCAGAGGCTGCCCACGTGTGCGTCCTCCTGATCTATCTGGCACACTCCTTCCTGTTGGACGAGACCTGCCCCTTGAGGAGCTCACGGGATAAAGCACCCGGAGACTCCAATTTTTTTTTAGGGAGAGAACCTTAA